AAGGAGAGTCATGTAAACTAACTGGAAGATCAGGAAGAGCCGCTTCCTGTGAGTGGAGGCTGAGATGGAGATCTACAGTACCTTGTCTTCCTTCAGCCACTTCTCCAGGAGCTGCTTGCGCCCCTGCTGGAGGACCGGCCTGCAGAGCTCCAGGGACTCAAACTTGTTGAGCTGGCCCTGGTCCAACAGGATGCCGAAGTACTGCAGCAGGGGGGAGGTCTGCCCCGGCTGGGTGGGAACGCCCTGAAAGCGACGGATGGTGTCTGGGGTCCGCAGGATACCCTGAGAGGGGAAAGGTCAACTGACTGTGAGAAGAGATCTGACGTGTGATAGAAGGCAAAACAAGTGGAAAATAGAACGCAATCCATTACTATAGCGCTGAAATAAATACAACCATCTGCATCGTATGGGGAGACTCTATAGGTTGACATTTGTAACAATAGATATCAACATGAAACTTACCCAGAATATTAATTATATTAACAGCTTTATTTTTTGTGTTAAACATTTTACGGATATATCATGTTTAAATATGCAAATAAGACATTGATTTATACAATTATGCTAATTTGGATACATTTTGGATCAATCAGTCTGAGAAAAGGACCTTTAAAGATACGTGTTGCAAAACTCCATAAAGTTTTCAAGACACTACAGGTAAGTAGGGTAAACAAAGTAACTGGTGGATACCACCATTCAAATGTAAAAGTAAGTCAAATAAACACCTAAATGTGATTTTTGAATGTTTTCTTTCCACAAGTCTGAAAGAAGAAATGCTATGGAAGCACAAAGTCTCTCAAAATCGACTGTCTCACCTAAAATTGACTTTTGTTTAGACTGTCAACAGATGTTGATTGGCCCCATGCCCACAGTATGCATACCTTTGGTGCGTTTGCAGCAACCTTGGCAGCCTCAGAGTAGGTACCGGCGGCAAACAGGTTGTTGAACTTGCGTGCAAAGAGCTCTTCTCCACCAGCGAGGTTGTTGCGGACAGCCAAGCGGAGAGCCAGATCTGGATTCTGGAGCACGTTAGTGATGTAGGGGATGATGTTTTCCTCTTCCACACACACTGAGAGCACCTGTGATGCCGGCAAAATAGAGAATGCTGAAGTACAGTACACAAGAGACAAGAAATACACCATAATCATGCCTGGTTTAATCTTTTGTAAAAGGCTTTCGGTTTACATACATATGATGGTTTTCTGTTTTCAAAAGTCTGTCTATAGTAGTTAGTCGAAGCAAAAGTCAAAGTACAGATTCGTAGCAACAAACTCCTTATCAATTCTCCGAATTAAAGCTAAGCTGATACAGACAGATGGCTTTTTACTCATATTTGAATAATCTAGAAAACACTGACAAATTTGCACAATTCTTATTCAGTTCCTGTGCCAGTAATTATCAGAGTGGGCAAGCTCAGCTGAATATAACTGTGGGCAATAGCACTAATCTCCGTTTAAACACTCTCTGGCCTTGGGTTGTGGCTGCTGAATGCAAATGTGTTATTAGTGGGTCAGTGTAACGCATGGCTTTTGTGAGCCGTCTGGCAACAGAGACAGAAAGGAGAACGAGTGGAATGAAAAGAGCTGGGTGGAAGGAAGGCGGAGGGGGGGTTGAAGGAAAAAGACATCCACTGTCGGCCCCTCTACAAACAAGCACAGCAGGTCAGTGCCCCTGCCTTTAACACGGGTGACTACACCTCATTCTTCCTGCTACTAAAGCAGAGTCACTTAAAGTGGGTGGCCTAATTGGAGGGTGTTGAACTTAAAAATGGACAGAAAGACGGAGTAAAACAATCCTGTAGTGGAGATTCTGTGTTCTCATCAGTCAGGGAGGATACAGCTACTGTTCTCAACAAGAGAGCGCCAAGAGTCGGAGGACATACGAGCTGTCGTATCGAGTGATGCACTGGCCCAGACACAAACACACACACACACAGACTAGTGGAACTGCAGGGCAGACCTCGCACGTCTCTGCCATGCTGCAGACGTGGAAGATAAGGTGGAGGTTGTGATTGGATGACTAGCACTAAGAGGATTGAGGGCACCAGGCTGTGCCTCCCACTTCACATCATGTGCTGCTGATGGGTAGTGGGCCCTTTTTCTCTCCTGCTTATTCCATTTAATTTCCCCTTTCTGTCCCGGTGGGGTGTGTGAGTAGCAGTTTTGCCCTGCATTTATTTAGCTCCCATAAATATATACATTAGCTGACAAGTACAAGGACAGCTTGGAAGCAATCATTCTGTAGAGTTGGAAATATTGTAATCAGACACTTGCGTATAACAAATAAAAACAGGAGAAAAGTAGGTGGTTGTGTTATGACCTATGCGACCACCTAAAATAAAACAACTGAGTATGTTTAGGAAATGGGATTTATTGATTCACTTTTGGAACTAGTATTCAATTGGGTATCGAGAATAGTGGAGTGTTTTAGTCTAATCTGTGTTATGTTTTGTAGGGGGTTTACTTTGAGTTATTTTGCTTATGAACTTTCACTACACACATAGTCATCTATAACTTGACTTAAATGTAAATGTCAGCCTTTATATCATGCTGAACCTTTTCAGTAGTAGGAACCACACAGCCGGCAACATATTAAGACAGCATTAGATAAAAATCACTTTATTTTCTTATGCCACTTGTGGCCATAGACGGCAGCAAGAATAAAGAAATGTATGGGGAAATCATTGTAGTAACGTATAATTAGAATCGAGTTATAATTATTGTTTATAGCCAACCCACTCAGGACCGTTGCCTATTATCTCTCCGATCACAGCATCAATGCGTTTGTGTGCATGTGATGTACACACGCATACGCACTTCGCTGAGCCGCCATACAGCGTGTTTGTCACTGCTTCAGATCAGCTTTCCTCCCTTCACTCAATTATTCATGTGGTGTGTGGCCTGGCTGGAACATTATTCATTAGCTGGCTGGATCCTATTCTCCTCTCTGGTTCAACTCAAACAAAAGCAATGAGAAACATCCCTCTCCCCTCTCTGTGTGAAACCCTACACCTTGGATTATTTATAATGCCTTCTGGCAAAGTCTGAGCTTGCCTGATGACAACAGACAAACAAGGAGTTGTCGTTAGTACCCCATGACACAACTGATCGTTTACATTCATTGCCGTGTGTCAGATTGTCTGTTTATGTGATGACTGATGACAGTTACATAATAAAGTGGTTCTGTTGTGGCTGTGTGTTAAGAGATTCATTTTTATCAGCACATTTCTACTTTGACATTAACAAAACTTTCCCATAGATTTAATTTACACTTAGAAAAGAGCACAGGGGTCCTTCTTACCTGTCCCTTCCTGTTGACCCCGATGATTCCTGCGGTGGCCTCATGTGGAGCAGTCACAAAGATGGTCTCCCCGCTGATGCGGTTCATGTAGATGCAGGTACCCGTCTCCAAGTCATACAAGTGAATGTAGCCATATTTGGTAATGAGGAAAACCACATCTTGCTTGGAGCTTATCTGTTTAAAAAAGAAATTATGTCTGTAAATCACGTTATGTTAGAAAAACAACACACTCTACTCGTCTATTATGCTTTGTCAGCCTACTGATATACCCTTATCTGGGCATAGGCTGTCACTTTTCATTTGAAACTTGAACATGAGAAATAACAATTATTTTTGAATGCCCTGTTGGACATAATGTACAGTGCATAAACACAGAGGAATAAACTGAAGTACCTAAAGAAATTGCAGTGTGGTCCAACAGAGTGCATTCTTAAAAATCACTAACAGTTTGACCTTTTGACTGCCCTGTTGACCTACCACTACACAAATGAATGAAAAATGGAGGCCGACATTAGCGAGCATAGCCTTTCTGATCATATAATCAAGACGCAGAAGGAGCTAAGAAGCAGAGTGTGGAACTAGCTTGTGTTCTTCATTGCAGATAGCAACAATACCAATAACCTTATGCGTTTGACAACTGCCTTTGCAAGACAAAGGGTTGGTGCATTTAGGGGTGTTGCAATATACCCATTTACGTTTATTTCGGTTCTCGCTTAGTGTCCCTCCCGTAATGCCCTACACACAAATTCAATTTCTAAAATAATAGACAACTTTTTTGCCAAGACAATTGAGTAGTAAGAATGTGATATTGTAACAGCCCTAGTATGCTATATAGGTTGTGTTCAAATGAGTTCAAGCTAATTACCTGCATGGCCACAGGGAAGTCGTTCTGGGCTTCTGGAGGGAAGAACACATCCACTGCTTTCTTTGGAAATGGCTGGTTGCCAGTTGGTGGGGTCCCCACTTCAATGATGTGCAACTGTGTTGAAAAGAACATCCATGAGAAACAAATGCAGGTTTTGCATTGAGAATGCCAATGAAATTACAAATATGTTTCTCTTAATATGTCATTAACACCAGTCACCTTTCCTCCAGCCTGGCCTCGGACAGCGAAGCAGAACAAAGTTGACTCCTCTGTGTTCCCCTCCATCTTGAACTGGGCAAAGCTGGCAGCATGGCCTTCGATGGGCTGGGAAACCTTTCTGTCAACGGAGTAGAGCTGCATGGCTCCAACAACCCGATTTTGCTAAAAAAACAAAAAAACAGATCAAAACACATTAATATAAAACATGTATAAATCAGACTAGTGCACCAAATGAAAGCTACTTAGTATCTATGGTTACTTATCAATGCACATAGGTTATCGCCTGTATTTTCCCCGTGACGAAGGCAGGCTTGAGCTCTAACTTACAAAACTTAATTTACCTGGGCTGAGATGCCGATGAGCAGGAGCCATTTCTGCTTGGCGTCCGTGCGGTAGTTGATGATCTGACAGCCTGCCAGGCTGGAGTGGCGGTCGAAGACTTTCACAGGCTGTGAGTCGCCCTCCATGCTCCAGTGGTAGACGGCATTATCAGTCACAAGTGCGACTGTGTTAAGGGAGATCCACTTCCAGAAGGTAACATCGTCCGTCATGGTGTGCGCCTTCATCTTGCTCTTCATCTCGATGTTGAAGATCTGAAGGGTTTTGGAGGCTAGAAGTGGGAGAAAGGGGGCAGGAACCAAGCCCCGGAATAATTTTATAGTCTCGGACCAGTGTGTCCAAACAAGAACATTTACAGGAAACACCAAATGTAATTAGAGAGAGAGATTCAGATTTAAGATATTGGTAGTCGAGCCACAACGCCATGACTGATAGAAAGGGGATGCCATACATGCTGTAGTCGGAAATTGTGTTTTATCTGAAGTGTAGTGAGACAACGGTGCACATTATAAATTGTAAAGGACAAAATAATACAGAACTACAGCAGTCTAATGCCTCTAGAATTGTATATAAATAAATAAAATAAGCGTTGTGAGGGAAGTTGTTTTCAATTCTCATTAACTTAAACAATCTACTGGAAAGAAAACTGAGACAAAATATGTACAGGTGCTCCCAGCTGTCGGAGATTGTGAATTAATACATGCTTACCTCTTTTCTTAGCATAATAGTCACTATAAATTAAGAACATAAACAAAAATAACAGAGTATTTAACAAAACTGACCAGTTATTTTAAGAGGTAAATGTACTCAGTGTATGTCATGTATTGTTATATCCGACTACGTGGCCCTCCCCATCAAATGAAGAGCCTTAATTGAGAGGAACAAAGCAGAAAGAGGGTCGAAGCGAAAAAAACTAACAATTCACAAAGAAGGCAAACACATCTGCGTCTGAGTCGAATATATAAGGGTGGAATACGACAAAAGTACGACAAATACAGGCACAACTACAGGAGAAGGTGAATTTAAGTAAGAGACTTTTGGACAAGAGTTGCAGGAAAGGTTTCCAATAGTGGTTATGGTTGATTTTCTACAATTAGAGTTATGATCAGAGATTGTCCTGATAACAGATCATGTTAACTGAAAAAAGGTTCACTCACCTGAATTTTGTGTTTATTAGTTAGGGTTAACTTAGTGGGCTAAAGCTTTATTACGAAGCAGTGTGACTTCCTTGTTTGCTCATTATTCACTACTCATTACCAAAGTGAGAAAAGGCAAAAGAATCAATGCGCAACACAACGGCCAAGATCATTGTGCATCACTAAGCCATGGGATCAGAGTACAAAAGGCGGTGTGGCGAATGGATCACTTGCAGCAGCCACATTTCAAAGAGCAAGCAGAGGGATTTTTGATTGAATTATGATCAGCTGTTGGGAGGTGGGGGTGTGTGCATCATGTTCGTCCTTCGGAAATGGTTACATGAAAAGGTTAGGGATCGGTACTGTGTCACATGACGCGGTCGGCTGATAAGCATCATTATGGTAGACTGAGCAGGGAAGACAGTGGGGGTAGAAAGGGGGAGGAAGAGTCTACACTGTTGTGACCCTACGCTGCATAATGAGTGAGGAAAGACAGGTAGTCCAACTTGAGCCAAGATGAATCTGCAGCTCTCCGTATACTGTTAAGCTACTTCAACTTTTCACATAATCAAAATATATCCTGTGGCTAATGAGAAATGTGCATTGCTGAAATGTAACTGAAGTTGTATGACTTTTGAGGTTTTATAGAAAGAAAATACTGAATACTTTGTTTTATTCGCTCTTTATTGCTTTGCAGTAAGCATTTTCTGCGCTGTCCTTATCCCAAGAGGACTCCATTTACTGTAAACTGAGATGATCAGGGTCTTCAAATTTGTAGGACTACAACAACAACAACTTATAAATGTTAAAATGATTATCAGAGTGAAGTTGATTTAACCAATGTGCTTCTTCTCAAAGACCGGGCCGTATGTGTTTGCTGTGTAAAGCTTAGACAGGCAGCATAATGGGCAAAGGTAGAACTATTGTAATGCTCATTCCTGAATATCACATGTTTTTCAGCAATAAGTTGTAACTATAAAAAAGTTCAGCACACAATTTATGACTGCACATTGTACCACATGCTCAGTAGAGCGAAGATTTAAATCATTTTAAACTAACGTTTAAATTGAAGAGGACCAGTTTAAAAGAACGTACACCGTCACATCTGGAAAGTTATGTTGCCAACAACCCAACAAAGATGGCATCCTACCATTTATTACCTCCTCATCCTCATTGTTAGGAGTCCTTCACAATTATACAAGTCAAATGAGCTGGGGTCAATTATCTGGTCATGTTATGCCCTAATGGTCCTTTGAAATGATCACAATAATGTCACTTTACCAAAGGGCCCCTAGATATTCAATATGTGTATATATAAAAGGCTGAGAGCTGAACACAGATGGCTGTTGGATCAGAAAGTGCTCCTTAACTCTTCTTGTCACACCCTGACAAGCAAGCCTCACAGGTTATTATCCAAAATCTCTTCTTGACCCAGTTCACTCCTCATCTGGGACTACTTATAATACTGATAGAAGACATCCCATCAGGAACTTGTCAAATCAAATCAACTATCTGATTCCATTAGATTTCATGCAAAGGTTAAAAGTCTACACTCTTTGATAGTTGGAGCATACTAATCTTCAGTCCTTGGTATAGAGAGAACCACAAGTTGGTCAAAAGTTGCTAAAGGAATTAACAAATATTAAACACAGCTGGGAAACAAGTGAACAGGTTTGGGTAATTACCACTTCACACAGATGGAAGAAGACATGGATTTCAAATGAAAATGGAAAAGAAATGTGGATTTCAAATGTAATCATGATACCCATAGTATAACCACGTGTAAAACAGGTTCTAAATCACTTATACATGTAATAGAAATGATGGAATGCCAGCAAGCTATAATGCTGTGAAAGCCAAATCCTGTTTACGAAGAAATATTTCTATTGGCCTAGATGTGGGACAAGGTCAAAAGTGGGTTCAGATGCATGTCAAATGTGAAAAGCTAGGCCATTTACATACAGGCTTTAAGAGCTTTATATTAGAACCCGAGTGTCCAATGGAACACAATGGTGAATAAAGTAATGTCAGATTTAATCAATATAGTCTGCATGCCTTATTTGTGAAATAAAGAAGGTAATGCTGGATAGAATGCTTTTATAAATACCGTCTTAACTTAAACAGGATTTTACTTTCACAATGTAGTAGTTAAATTTCAACTCACCGTCTGCAAACACATAAGAAAGCAGTAAAGGAAAAAAAAAGAACATAGAAAAGACAAAAACAAAAAAATGTCAAAGCAATTATGGACGCTGGACAAAAAGAATAAAAATATGCTACTTTGAATTTTTACAGGACAAATGTTTGGGAAAAAAACATACATGTCTGCCAATAAAAACTTCTTTACAATGGAAAACTAAAGTAGCTAAATGTGTATGGACATAAATAGAAGAAATTATTTATAAATACTCTTAATTAATAAACGGATAATGTCACTATATCGAGCAAACATGTCATAACTGAAAGCTGCAGGCTGTGTTTATTAGTTAAAATAAAACACTGAAATAATACTATGTTGTTTTCACTGATTAAGAGAAATGTGACTTCTGCAATGCCAATAGACTGTCTTACCTTTAAGTGCAATGACTTTGCTGGCTGGATTCATAATGGCGCTGTCGGCGGAGATGGGCCTGCGGATGGGGGTGTTGGGGTCTGCCATGTCGATGATCACCACCTGAGACTGCTCGCCCACTTTCTCCCGGATACAGATGAACTTATCCGACTCCATGGTCAGGGTGCTGAAGCCTATGTTGGCCGGATTGATCCCTAAATTTTGGAGCTAAGAGAAAAAAGGGGAAAAGGTTAGGTTGAACAGAATAAGCCACAAAAGGTAACGTTGCAAAGAATACCTTCAAAATATTTATATCATTCTTCTTGCCAAGACAAGGAATGACAAGAGTATGCATTATATTTTTATTTAAATGCAATATTTGCCAAGATATGTCTGGGAATGAGGAGAAAAAAAAGACGTACTGGTGAGATGATAGTAATTTCCCAGTAACTTAGTAAAAAATGTGTACACAGAAATGATGATGAGTGGAAACATTTAAATGCCTGGGGCTGACCCAACAACAACAACAGCAGCGTCAAATAAGAACGCTTGAGTCTGTGGTCAGCTGCTTCGCACTAACACAGCCAGCGGATGAGGTCATGAAGTTTAGCCCGGACACTGAGCAGCAGCCCTTTGGACACATGGAGCTGCTCACAGTGGTTACAGAGCTGGGCCTGGGTGGAGGGCTAATCCAACGCCAAGTTCTCAAAGCGTGGGCCAGAGAGGAAACTACAACTACATAAATCAACACCGTAGTCTGGATACCAGCAGCTGAACAACTTTCTGCATTAGGCAAAAAGGACAATCATTGCATATAGACAATTTTTTTTAAACAGCGAATCGCCATCACCATCACCTAAATTGAACCAACCAACAAATGTACACCACAGTTGGGCAGTGTGACCTCAGTTTCCCTGACTTCCCTGGTGTCCCAGCAGAACAAACAATGTAATGCAGGACATAAAGAGATTTAACCTGCATGAAAGCAAAAGCCTGAAGCTATGGGTAAAATGCTTAGCAGCACGTAACACCAGCGAGCTCTGCGGCCCCGTTTACAGCCAAGGCTGGAAACAGGGCATCCTGCCTCACACAAACCCTGACACAGCACTGCCTAGCAGTGCCAAAACAGCTCTGGGCAGGAATGTCAGGACTTTAGTAGCAGCGCAAACCATGTATCAATGGTTCCAATTTTAAAAGAAACCGCAGCAAACCAGATTTAACAATAACAATGAACATGGTTAATGAAAAAAAAGAAATGTTTAGTTACACAATCAGAGGTTGTGTGTGTCAATACCTTCAATTTGAAAGTTGGAAAAGCAGCTGTAAAGTGAACCCAGGACAGAGGAAATGAAACTACTAAAATCATGTCCAATAGACCATGTTCGCTGTTGCAACTTCCTGTATTTTTGCAACCTATCTGAAATATTACACAGTTGTACAAATGATGCACAACTACTAAATCTATCTGGATTCCCTTATCAATCTTGAAAAATACAGTAGCACTGTTGATACATCTTTACAAATTGATTTTGCACTTTTGTTATGTCATTACACCATTTGCCATAAAACTGATTAGAATATTTCTACACAATAGAGTGCCACAGTGACGCGTCCTAAAACCTAGAAGTAAACTCCTTCCGGTTCCTTCGACAAAATCGAAATAAATCTATCAATCATAAATCTATCTATTAGATTTATGATTCGAAAATTATAAAAGTAGGGTAGACATGTGGATATTATCCGGCTGAACAAAACGTGATCTGTCTCTTCAATTTGTGTCAACCACAGACCTTATTTCGAGCTGTTTTCCAAAATCCTATGGAGAAATTGCATTGGTTTTTGTCAAAGGAACCGGAAGTGGTCAAATGCTAACTAACTTCCAGGTTTTAGGACGCGTCACTGTGGCACTCTATTGAGACATCATATTAGAAGGAAATGCTAAATTGACACTCTTATGTGCGGTGTTCTGTATTTTAATGGCACACTTTCATAAGCAGATTCCCAATTTGTTCCCACCTTATTTAAAATGTTAAAACTCAAGAGTAGTTTTATGAACACATACTGGATGAAAAAGCAGCAGCTTGCCAGACACAGCCCCAATTTACCCAGGTTTAGAGAGGGCTGTTACATTTCAAGGCTGGGTTAGGACAAAAACTGGCAACACGGTCAACCATTTGCCATAGTCATGCCAGAGCCCTAATCAGCAAACAGAAACCACAGTTCCAGGAATTGCACAACGAAAATTGGAACACCTTTTATCAATGACAGGACACACCCTCCCCTCAGCCAGCCCCACCCACATTCTTTCAGAAGTGTGTAACCTGGTTCCATCTCAATGACACTGATAACAGACCTAACAGAACCAGTGTTACTACTAGCTATGAGGAAAGAACTGACTGAAAAGCAAACTGTCTGTGGAAAGCTTTCACCACAGTCCTTCATGTGTATTACTTAGGAGGGAGACATCATACAATAACGTCATTGTAGCTTCAGTGCCTCTTATCTGTGCCATTGTACACTACAGAAGCCTTGTTTACTAACCCAACATTTATTCAAGCCCCAGACAAAGGTAAAAGCGCTCGAGAGAGAATTTAGTTTGGACATGGAATACATCTTATTTTACTTCTAAAAAGCAAGCTGGTAACAGTTTCAGTTTTCTTTATCACTATCACTTTAAGAACTGCCTTGAAAGTGACGTACAAACATGGAATAAAATCAAGAGCAGTCTCTTTTGTAACAATTCAGAAGATGCCACGAAGAAGCTATGAGATGTTGTGAATAAACATTTGACTTTAAATCGTCTCTCTAATCTCTGTAAACCAGACTGGGGTATGTCTACGTATTACGCACAAGAGGGTTATCCAGTTAAATTACACAACCGCTTTCTAGAAAGATTTACGTGATCTCTCTCCCTCACCCTACCATCTATTCTGGGAGCAGCAGGAAGCACTTTCATTCACAATGAAAAAGCATTCACTAAACAGGAAGAAGGGTAGGGCCCTAATCACAATGTATGATTTATGTAACTAAGAAAAACTAAACAAACGGACAGATGTTGCACTGATGGGAGAGTGACCATCACACTACAGTTTGATCTGTGACACTGGTTCCCTATGAAAACCTTCAAGTCAAACCCTGCTGTGGGCTAACACTGCTGTGACGTCAATAAGCAGGAATTTGGGTGAAAGCAGGTCAAACCAGTGGAGCTAAAAACAATGTGGAAAATCATTTAGTCATCTAGTCTAGCCTGCGCCGGCCTTGGGGCTGCTGCTTTTAGCTCAGCCATCAGCACAAGCTTTCTTGGACAGATGCCAGTCTAAAAGTTTTAAATCCATCAACAGTGAATTAACAAAAGTGTAGCGAAAGAAGAGCAGAGGGGAGACCGGACAGCAATCCGAGGGAAAACACTAGCACAGTGGAGCCCACATTTTTTCCCTTGGAGGGCAAAAAACTAACTTATGCCCCTTTCACACCGGCGCTTTTTCCTGTTCACACCGCAGCAGCGCCGCATCATAGCTCCGGAATGCGGTTCACTTCCAGCTCCAAAAAATTGTCGGTCTAGAGGCAAGAGCTTCGGAGCTATGACGCGGCGTCGCTTACGTCTCTCTTACGTCGAGGCGTGCAGGAAACCTTACTTTGACCATCCGTTCACTGTTATTGATCATTGTGGAGAGCAGGCAGACGTTTTGTTTGTTATTATAGCAGCTATCGGATGGAATCAATACATGGGCTGCACAGGTTGTCATGTCCGACTATCACAAGTAGAATCATAATGAAAAATACGCCGGTAAAATGTGCCTGTTGAAAACGGCTTAGCAAGTAGTCAGTTTAGCTTCGGTTGCTATGCTAACATCACCCATGTTATACCAGAGAAACTTTCATAACAGCGTTGTGATGCCAAACAGCATCAATTCAGACTGACACACATTCACTTAAAGGGAACTGGGGATATGTATCAGCTGCTTGTGTGACAGTCAGACAGTGAATACTTTAGAGCCGTGTGAGCTAACCCGGAGCTAACGGGAGAATACACTCCCGTTGAAGAGCAGCCAGCACTGCAGCGGTCGGTAAATGCCGCTGAAACACATTAATAAACAATGAACCACGGCACTCTGGAGAAAAGTATAAGGTTGGAGAAGTCGTTATTTAATTTAATCTGGCTTCGTATAATTAAAAGCAACACGATCATCGACCCGACGCAGTCCCCCCCAGTTGTTGTTGTGAGCTCCGTTGGGGAGAAAATCAGCGATGTAAACGGTGACATCATGACGCAGCAGCGGCAGCTGGGCGGTGTGAACAGAGCGGGAGCTGAAAAGGGAAACCGGAGCTGAACCAGAAAAGCTCTAGCTAGGAGCTAGAAAGG